GGACGGTTCCGAGTCGCAGTGGCGCGGGCGGGGGCACTGCCTGCTGAGCACCCGCCCCAGCACAGTCTCGGCCTGCTCGCCATGGACGACGAAGATGTCGCCAACCGCAAGGTCTCCTTCCGAAAGTGCCTGGAGCACCTCTCCGGGGCCGGCAAGGCCATCGGAGTGCTGACCAGCGGCGGGGATGCCCAAGGTGCGCGACCGCCTGACCGGGCCGGGGGATAAGTGATGGGAGGAGGGACCGGGAAGAGGGGATGGGGTACGCGGGGCAAGCGGGGACAAGCGATGGGAGCCCCAGGAAGAAGCGAGGGAGAGGGGGTACTGCGGATCAGAGCAGGGTGGGGGAGAAATCCTGGCGCCCGGGAACCGCAGGGGTACCTTCCGGGGCAGGAGTGGGCGGTGCAGCCTCAGAAGGAGTCTGGAGGAGTCTTCCCTCCCGCAGGAGGAGGGAAGAATGTGGCCTTAGGATCCTTTATCGGGAAGATCAATTAATTTCCCCCCTCCACGTTTAGTTTTTAAATTGAGACTGGCTGTGGGGTCTCCTGGACGGCCCTTGGAGGTCATTTCTCGTCCGAGTCGTAGGGTGGGGCCGACACCCCTGGGAAGCTTAGGAGTCGCGCGGCCACCTGGATGCCGCGGCCCCCACCCCCCTCGCACCCCGCCCCCACCGGGTGGAAACAACGGATCCCCGCCGCGCGTCCTGCGGATTCGCGTCCCCCGCGCGGCGCGGGCGGGGTCCCCGCTGTTGCCTGGTGGGGCGCGGCGGGGGGCGCGAGGGGACCCCGCCCGGGATGCCCACGGCCCAGTTTCCGCTGGAGGCTTTCCACCGCTCTCCTGACAAAACCGAAAACTGAAATAGGTCACAAGGCCCGCCCCGCCAGCCTCCTCCGGCTGGGAAGGACCAGGAAGCCGGGTCTCTGGGACGTCACCAGCACCCGGGTTGCGGACTCCAGCCCTCCTCCCCCCACCATGTGGAGGCAGATTTGGGGGAGAAGGGGACCCAAGCCCAGGGCCCGCGGATACCTAAAGAGTATTTAAATTTAAAGGAGGGGGTGACATGGCCACGCCCGGGCCCCTGGCGCTGGGTGCACGTGGGGCACAGGGATTTCCAGGCGGTGGGGTTTCCTGATCCAGGTAAATCCCTGGGTGGGGCGAGCCGCCCGCTAGAGAGTGGATCGCCGCTTTGCGGGCGGATGCGTCCCTGGAGCCTAAGATCGCCCTGGCTGGGGACGCCTCCCCAAGCTGGGTTTGGTTTTTCTTTCCTCCTCTTTCTCCTACCCCTGGTGCCCGATTTTTCCAGATTTCCAGGACACACCAGGTGGAGGGATGCTCAGGTGCTGCGCCGGGCGCCCTCGCCTGCTGCCCACTGCCCGCCGTGCGCCTGACCTTGCCTTCGCCCTTGAGTCGGGCGGGGCTGGCAGGTTGGGGCGCTGTGGCCGCAGCCCCGCCCGCCGCGCGTCTACGTGATGCCCGGCCAGTCGCCGCCCGCGCGCCCTGCGCCCTTGGCCCTAGGCATCAAGCCCCGCAGCCGGCGCGCGGCGCGCAGTAGGTGAGGGGATGGCGCTTCAGCGCGGGCAGCGCCCCCGGAGCGTGAGTCCCCGGAGCGTGAGTCCCCGGTGAGACCCGCCTCGTCCTATTGTGGGCGGGGACCGCGGCGCCAGTCACCGCCCCCACCGCACAGGCCCCTTTTGCCCCCGCGAGCGAAGCCGGGCTGTTCTGCCTGAACTGGTATTCTAGTAAAGTGAGCCCCGGTGTAAAAACATTCCGGAGAAGGAAAAAGTGGTAGAGCCAAGGCCCGGATTGGGGAAATGCAGTGACACCGAGGATATCGCCCACGTGACGTAAATGAACACCTAGAGGTGTGCCACGTGGAGCCCTGTGGGGTCGCGGTGGGGCTAAGAGTGGCTTCCTACCACATGGCATAAAAAGCATGTGCGTCTGGAGACCTGCCCTAGCACGAATTAGGAAGCACAATCGGGGCCCTGCAAGGGAATACAACGTTGGCACAGGAAGAGGAACTAGTCTCTAAAACCACCAGGCTTCAAGGCCAGAGTTTCAAGGTTATTTGACAATTAAGGTGCTGTGTCTGTTTGGGGGGAAAAAAAAAAGCATTTATGGGTCCACTCTTTGGAATCCCTGCCCAAGAGTTTGCTCAGCTACTTGGTAAATGACGTGCAGGCCCTGGGGACCGTGGTGCAACACACAGAACCTAGCCCGGCTCAGCCACTTGTGAGTAGTTCCAATAGGGGCCAGGAAGTCCACCTGTCTTCTGCTTAGTGGAACAGGATACTCTGAGAACCCAAATTACACGAGAAGCCTGCTTGGTTGGTGTCAGGGCCACGGGAGATGCTCTCAGCTGATACCTCAGGGCTGGCCCAGGGAGAGCCCCTGTGCTCCCAGCATTTCACCCCAGGCAGAAGAGAGGTTTTCTTGGACTTTGTGCAAAGCACGGTCTCCCGCTTTTTTGCTGCTCTGACCTGATGGAGCATCTGAGCACATGTCCTTCTGAGAAGGCTTGTCTGGACATGTGCTCAGAGGGGCTGGTCTTAGCAGCAACACGTTTACAGACCCTTAGACAAGGTCATTCTTAGAGATATTGTCTGAGACGCTTGGTTCTTTTGCCATTTTATCCTGACTCCAAATTCTGTCAGTACTTGATTTTCCCTGCGGTAGAGAGAATTTGGCTCCTTGCTAAAGATCCAGGGGAGCATATGCAAGTCTTAATGTCAGGTTTTCCAATCAGATGTAAAATTTTGGTCAAATTCCAACTGGGGTGGGGGGGGGGAGGTGAGCATAGCTACTATTTATTGGGCACATTTTGTGTCCCGGGAGCTTTACAGTTATCTCCAGGCCTGATCACATTGCTTCCAGATATGTATGTCTTCGTTTTGGAGGTGGGGAGAGAGACCTACGGAGACATAAGCAACTTGGTTTGGGTTACACAGCTCATATGTGGCCTCTATCAGTATTTAAACCAACTTCTGTCAGATTTCAGTCCCAGGGACTTCCCAGGAGGCCATGCTCTTCAGGGGCCTTGTAAAGTGAAAGTCCAAGTTTTAAAGGTTTTATTTATGTATGCTGTACTTACTTATTACAGAGAGAGAGAGAGAGAGAGAGAGAGTGGGGTGGGGGAGAGGGAGAGAGAGAATCCCAAGCAGACTCCCTGCTGAGGGCAGGGTCTGGCTCATGGCTCCATCTCAAGACCCTGAGATCAAGACCTGAGCCAAAATCAAGAGTCAGATGCTTAACCCACTGAGCCACTCAGGGGCGTCCAGATGATTTTTAAACAGCTTTGGTAGTAGAGCAGAAAACACCTTTTTACAGGGATAGCACTAGGTCAGCCAAAGCCAGAGTGATGAAACACTTTGTTTTCCAGTCGAATTTAGTAATTATTAAAAAACAAAAGTAAATCCTGCATCTCTATTCTTACTGCCCCAGCCCCGCCCACTAAGGAAGACTATTTCCAGGGCTAATTACTTTTCTCATTCTTCGGGTTTCTTCTGCTGTCACAAGGAATGTCTGCAAGTTAAAACTGAATTTCCACCTTGCTGGACAGACAGCCTTTCCATGACTAAGTAAGTAGCTACCCTCGAGCAAGATTGTGTCATCCACCAAAAATGATTCATGGGCGTAGACACAGTCTGTGGGATCAGCCAGGTGCAGATGAGAAGGTGGAGAAATTGAGTGCCCCCTGCAGGCAGCGTGGCTATAAAGTCCTCTTTTGCCTAAGGCGAAGCAAACATGAATACAGTATCCAGAGAATTCACATAAATTGAGTCCGTGTCAGTCTTTAAAAGAACAGCAAGAATCACTAACGTTTGCTGGTGGCGGGCGCTACGCTCGTGTGCACTAACTTGTTCTTGGTTCACGCGGGAGTGAGCGAGCTTTGCGAGGAATTGGCTTCCTTGAGTTCTAAGTGGTAGACGGGGCTGAGCCCTGAGGCTGCAGAGAGGATGGGAGGTCGTCTTCAGTGCATTTCTGGTGTCCAGCACAGGATGCGGCAGGAGGCAGGCTCTGGGATGTTTGCTGGATGGCTCCCCCTGAATCCCTCCAGGGCCCTATGGGCCACTCCCTTTCATAAAATGCTGGGTGACTGCAGTCCTGGCTCCTTCCTTCTCTCATTAAGTCATTCCAGTGACTTGAACCTTCACTAATCAGAAGCACTCTTCTATCTGCAGAGCAGGATCTGGGAATGGCTAATGCCTCAAAGCTTGTAACTTTATAGCGGTCGGCAGAACTGCGGGGCACTGGTGGCTGGAGCCCAGCACGGGGCGGTTCAGCCATTGATCACGTACTGCTTGAATATGGCACTGGGGCCCCGCTTGTGCAGGATCCTTCTGTATTCATTCGGAGGTGTGCTGGCTGCAGAGCCCAGCTCGGTGCAGAGGGAAACGGGGGCCCAGGCCTGGGGGCCCCTTACTATCCTGGAACTCTGTACACATACGTTCTAGAGTGGGGGGATTTTTTTCCAATGTAAAATTTAGTAATTAATTTAGCAAGCATGGTTGCATCTAGGAGGCGGTGTGTTAGAACTACAGTGCTCACCCCATGAGTGCCTTGGACCATCAGCCACTGCACCCTCTTCTGTAATGCACACACTCTGCGGGGCACCCCCAGGCGACTCTCAGAAGCTAGGCGCTTATGTCTTCTTTCAGAAAAACTCAATCCTGCCTTGGGGGGAACAAACAGCTTTGGTTCAGAACTGAAACCTTTCATCAGGGAGAACTGGGGCCGGTGGGACACGCTCCACCAACCTGATGGACCGTCGAAGCAATCACCATTAGAAGCCTGGAGATGGGCCAGCAACGTGGTAAAGGCAGACGTCGGGACACAAAACTGTAGGCCTAGTGCGGTTGTAACTAGGTTGGGAAGGTGTATTTGGATAAAGAACAGGCAGTCTTATGTTGAGAAAAAGCAAGCTTGGCACGGGGCTCCCTTTTTATTTGCTGCAGCGCCCCTGCCAGGAAGCCCCCGTGTCCTCCCACTGCCCCTTCGGGCCCTGCATCTTCGCCACTGTCTACTTAGCTTGCTGGGAATTACAGTAATTGTGCTTGTCAGGATAAGAAGCAGCAAAGCGTGTGGCAGAGCAGAGCCTCGAGAGTCGCAAGACTGATTAATAGGTCCTGGTTCCTGGTTCTGCTCTCTGCTAGCCTTGGGCAGGGCCTCTATTTTTCGTTTGCAAAATGAAGGACG